CAATAAATCAACATTCGGTCATGTGACATTTCGGTAACTATGAAGCTTTAAAGTAATTTCATGTTCTGTAATTTAATTTGTTCAGAGAATAAATTATCCCAAAATACATGTTCATTTTTCAGATACGTGTCTATTATTGGTATTTTCTTAAACAATCGTCTATTATTTATAAAACTGTCCATTATTTTTTGAAAATAATGGAGAGTTTTATAAATAATAGACGATTGTTTAAGAAAAGCGTACATTCTCCTATATACTGGTTAAAAATATCAAAGGGTGACGTTATATCTATGTTTTAAGTTCCTCAGTCAATGTTGTAACCTTGGTCTTAAAGGAGTTAAGTCGCTAATATTTGGGATCTAGAAATTGACACAAATGGGTCGCAACACATATAATAATGTAAACTGTATATAAACTGATTTACATTCAATCATTTCTGTTTTTACTGTAATTTCTAATCAGTTATATTCGACGAAATACGCCAGAAGTCTCGATCGAATGGCAATCTCTAGCGTCTTGTTATTCCAGTCTACACCGATAGTATTTATTACACATTCTCTCCAGATAAGAATATGTCGTCACCATTTGATATGTCTTGTAGAATATGTCTAAACCCGTTCATCGAGTCCCTTGTTAGAAATGGCGCTGAAACGCATTATGGTACACGATTCGTGTACCAATGGTAAAATGTTTATTTTGTCTTAAATATTGGATACCAGAAGTTCATATTTTCCCGGTAAGTTCATAACATCAATGTTGATTTAAATTGACAACTAATTCGTGTTTTCTGCATTAGATTTAGTCAGTTCACAGTAGGCTGATTCAAGTTTAAGTTTCAAACGTGAGACAATATCCGGAAGTTCATCTACCTCTGTACTAGATTGGGGAATTTTTGGTTTAATGACTGGCGGTTTACTACATGTGCTGTGTAATTTGGAGCTTCTAGTAACAGGCTTGCTGACAACTGATTTTGTTATTGATTTGTTACACAAGCCTGTTGATGAAGAAACACAACTTTTTAGTCAATGTTGCTTTTGGAGTAATGATATGTGTTGCACGTCGTGATGTACCTGGTGTGTGTTCTACTGCTACATGCGAAGAAGATATGTGTTACCTGTGTGAGGTTAGATACTTGATGGGTATGTTTAACTGCAGGCGACTCGTTGTTGCGAAGTCGATCAATTGTAACTTTATTTTGAAGTGTATCTTTAAAATTGTCGTTGAGAGAAGCAGCTGCGTCTAAGTTCTTGTTTTTCAGAACATTAGGTAAATGATCAGATAGAAAAATATTTTCATTTACGCCGTTGAAAAAGATTTATAGTGTATCTACAATCTAGGTTTTTCCCAGAGGAGTTCACTCTGGTTATAGAAGATTCAACTTGGGATTTAACATCAACTTTCTTAGTTATGCATACCTACTCCGATGATACGTCGAAAATTCAAGACTACGTCTAAACTCAAGGTAATGTCCAGAAACAAAATGTAACCTGATCCCACGGCCTGTTTTGTAGATTGTGATGTAGTCACAAAAAGTGGCTTTCAACAGTTTTTCGAGGGTTTTTTGAATGTTAAGTTCATACGATTGTTGTATAGTACATGTAAGCTGTGGCTGACAAAATGGTGTAGATTTCCGATTATAACTGGCAAACGACTTCAGTTTGCACAAACTTGAAGCTGAAACAGACGCATCTTTAATGTCCGACTTTAGACTTGAGTCTGCCATTTTGTCAGTTTGAATTATGAGAACAGGAACAAGGAAGATAAATAAAATCGTTAGATATTCAAATGTTAGATACTTATCACATCAGATAAACAATATAGAAAGAAGAGTTTCACATCAGAATCACAAACGTCATGAAATAATCCATAAAAACGAAGAAATGTCTGATAGAATGCAGGTAAACAATCATAATTTTAAAGAGAAAATTCAAAAGCTGCCATCTTGGTTGCTACGTCCAACGATACGCGTTCCCTCAAATATCGATATAATACAGTTTTATACTTGTATATAAAAACAACAAATTTAAAATTGATCAGTGATATTGAAAATGAATAAGTTTCTAGCTGTAAACGAATGAATATTGTGCTCTCTCTGACGTCTGTGCTCACCGATATCTGTGCGATATGTATCTTTGTGTAATAATGTTATTTTAGTTATCTAATCCTGTATTCGTGGTGTAATATTTATACCCTTTGTTTTTCACCGAGGATTACTCCACTCTTATTTTAAGTATCTAAGGCTTTATGGCAGTGTGAAGTTTGATCGTTTTTCGTTATTCGTTATTCACCAATAACGAATAACGAATAACGAGGTGGATCACCTAGTTATTCGCGAATAACGAGGGATACGCCACCTCGTTATTCGTTATTCAGCTTTTTATTCGTGATTCAAATATGCAGCTAGCCATGACTAGAATGATGGATGTCAAGTATCCCCCAGTAGTATAAAAGACAGCAAAACGACTTCTAGACGAAAACAGTCCACATTGTTATTCAAGCAGCGAATAACGAGCTGTTTGTTATTCGTTTTTCACCTCTTTATTCAGGATTCACATATGAAGAGGTTCATGCATCTTTAATGAGGATAATTCAGAATTTAATTCAAAACGATCACTATACAATATTAGAATAATGGATTGTAAAGTATCCCCTAGCAGTGGAAAACTCATTAGTAGACGTATAGTACTTAAATAAACCAGATTGTTATTCAAGCGGTGAATAACGAATAACGAATAACGAGCTGTTTGTTATTCGTTTTTCACCTCATTATTCGGGATTCACATATGAAGTGGTTCATGCATCTTTAATGAGGATAATTCAGGATTTAATTCAAAACGATCACTATACAACGATAGAATAATGGATTGTAAAGTATCCCCTAGCTGTAGAAAACATTAAATGAAGTATAGTCGATAAATAAACCAGATTATTATTGAAGCGGCGAATAACGTATAACGAGCTGTTTGTTATTCGTTTTTCACCTCGTTATTCGGGATTCACATATAAAGGGGTTCATGCATCTTTAATGAGGATAATTCAGAATTTAATTCAAAACGATCACAATACAACAATAGAATAATGGATTTCAAAGTATCCCCTAGCAGTAGAAAACATATTAAATGACGTATAGTCGGTAAATAAATCAGATTGTTATTCAAGCGGTGAATAACGAATAACGAGCTGTTTGTTATTCGTTTTTCACCTCGTTATTCGGGATTCACATATGAAGTGGTTCATGCATCTTTAATGAGGATAATTCAGAATTTAATTCAAAACGATCACTATACAACGATATGGAATGTAAAGTGCCCCCATGCAGTAGAAAACATATTAAATGACGTATAGTCGATAAATAAAACAGATTGTTATTCAAGCGGTGAATAACGAATAACGAGCTGTTTGTTATTCGTTTTTCACCTCGTTATTCGGGATTCACATATGAAGGGGTTCATGCATCTTTAATGAGGATAATTCAGGATTTAATTCAAAACGATCACTATACAACGATAGAATAATGGAATGTAAAGTATCCTCTAGCAGGAGAAAACATATTAAAATTAAATGACGTATAGTCGATAAATAAACCAGATTGTTATTCAAGCGGTAAATAACGAATAACGAGCTGTTTGTTATTCGTTTTTCACCTCGTTATTCGGGATTCACATATAAGGTGTTCATGTATCTTTAATGAATATATTTCCGGGTTTAATTCTAAACGATCATTAGGCAACAATAGAATAATGGATTGCAAAGTATCCCCTAGCAGTAGAAAACATATTAAATAACGTATAGTCGGTAAATAAACCAGATTATTATTCAAGCGGTGAATAACGAATAACGAGCTGTTTGTTATTCGTTTTTCACCTCGTTATTCGGGATTCACATATGAAGTGGTTCATGCATCTTTAATAAGGATAATTCAGGATTTAATTTCAAAACGATCACTATACAGTGATAGAATAATTGATTGTAAAGTATCCCCTTGCAGTAGAAAACATATTAAATTAGGTATAGTCGGACCAGATTGTTATTCAAGCGTTGAATAACGAATAACGAGCTGTTTGTTATTCGTTTTTCACCTCGTTATTCGGGATTCACATATGAAGTGGGTCATGCATCTTTAATGAGGATAATTCAGGTTTTAATTCAATGATCTTTTAGAATTAAATCCTGAAATATCTTCATTAAAGATACATGAACACCTTATATCTGAATCCCGTATAACGAGGTGAAAAACGAATAACAAACAGCTCGTTATTCGATATTAGTTATTCACCGCTTGAATAACAATTTGGTTTTTTTTATCGAATATACGTCATTTAATATGTTTTCTAAGGCTACGGGATACTTTACATTCCATTATTCTATCGTTGTATAGTGATCGATTGAATTAAAACCTGAATTATCCTCATTAAAGATGCATGACCCACTTCATATGTGAATCCCGAATAACGAGGTGAAAAACGAATAACAAACAGCTCGTTATTCGTTAGTCACCGCTTGAATAACAATCTGGTTTATTTATCGACTATACGACGTTTAATATGTTTTCTACTGCATGGGGGTACTTTACATTCCATTATTCTATCGTTGTATAGTGATTGTTTTGAATTAAATCCTGAATTATCCTCATTAAAGATGCATGAACCACTCCATATGTAAATCCCGAATAACGAGGTGAAAAACGAATAACAAACAGCTCGTTATTAGTTATTCACCGCTTGAATAACAATCTGGTTTATTTACCGACTATACGTCTACTAATGAGTTTTCCACTGCTAGGGGATACTTTACAATCCATTATTCTATTGTTGTATAGTGATCGTTTTAAATTAAATCATGAATTATCCTCATTAAAGATTCATGAACCCCTTCATATGTGAATCCCGAATAACGAGGTGAAAAACGAATAACAAACAGCTCGTTATTCGCTACTTGAATAACAATGTGGACTGTTTTCGTCTAGAAGTCTTTTTGCTGTCTTTTATACTACTGGGGGATACATCCATCATTCTAGTCATGGCTAGCTGCATATTTGAATCACGAATAAAAAGCTGAATAACGAATAACGATTAACGAGGTGGCGTATCCTTCGTTATTCGCGAATAACGAGGTGATCCACCTCGTTATTCGTTATTCACCAATAACGAATAACGAAAAACGATCCAACTTCACACTGCCAGCCTTTATTCACAAATGTATCAGTAATAGCATATGGTTTTTTGTGTGATTACTTATTATCCAATGTATGTAGTAGATATAAAGCTTTCGCATCTTTGCTCATTTGTTAATTGTGTATGCTTGATAACGCATATTGAAATCTTGTCGAAACGTCGTGTGTGTTTAATATGGTGAGTATTTTATTTATAGGAATGTGTTATTGTTTAAAGGGATATTCCCAGATCGATTTTGGAGAATAAAACTGCTTAATTTTGTGTGAAAACCCCTTAAAGACATCTAACTTAGCCTCGCGCAACTACGAGTACCACAAGCCATGTGATATGTTTTCAAACAACTTCCAATCGTCGGTATTGCTCTATGTATTACGACTGGCATCCAGGTTACACGATACAACGTCTCTGGATAACACTATACAATGTTCTGCGCGCGCATTGACATTTCCGGGTTCCTTTCTGGGTTTTTTTTGTTCTAGTCCCGTGACAAATGATTCTTAGGTTTGATCGTTTTTGTTGTTACCGTATTCTGCGCTAAATATTTATATTATAGACATAGCCACAACTAAACGCCATTTGAATCTAGCGCGGAATTATAAAATATCCTATTTCATGTATCTCGAGACTCGAAATGTTTCACTTTTCATTTCGGAGTCAATCAGCCATGTCATGACAAATGTAAATTATAGTTTGTTACTATAACCATGATCACGGCTTCCTCGGTGCTCTTTTGGTCAATCTTTTGGATGGGTTGTTGTTTTTATATTTTTGTGTGATCAAATAGATACTTTTGATCTGCAAATAATATATTGTATACTATACTAAAATACAGAATGGATTCTTTGTAATTGGGAAGAGGTAATTAGTGATAGCATGGGGTTGTCCCGTATAAAAGGAATGGCAGATAATTTTTGTCAGATTTTGTCAGTTGAAAAACTGTCATTCAAAATGGTTGAGAAGTGTGTAAAGTGTAGTAAGGCTGTGAAGAAAAACCAACAGGCAATTTCGTGAAACAAGTGAGATCAGTGGACACACAGGATTTGTGGTACAAGTATGTCTTCTTTCTTTATGTAAGTTTTTTGACCAAATAAAAAAGACTATCTTTTGTTGAAAGACTTGAAAAAAGTAATTGTGTATTACAATGCGTATATTTGTTTTAAATTCAATGAAAGAAATCTATGACTAATGTATAAACCAAATGGCAATATCCTTGGAATGATTTTTGTTGATATTTTCACGAGGTGTGAATGTTTTGTTTTCTTCAGAATTGTTTAGAAATGTAGAGGCAGCAAAAGTGGGAAAGCTATCGATTTTTTTGTGCATTATATTCCGAGTGCATTGTAGGTGACACATCAAGTAATCCATCCACCAGTATTCCTACACCACTATCAAGTTCTGATGATATTGAAAGTTTTCCGGATTTGCCAACACCATAAGACCCATCCACAAAACCTTCCCCTCTACCAAAGCGTAGGAAAACTGTGCACAGATGTGTTGTGAGGCGTCCAAGAGATGTCACAAGAGACCACAGAAGAAAGCGTGGCAAGGTTGAGATTTTAGAGAATTGATGGATTGAAGGTATAAATAACAGTAATTTCTTTACTACCACCCTTATGCTGTCGTATGCTTACTGTAGATGAGGGGGTTTTGTAGTCCCCCGTTAAAAAACCCAGAATGATTTTGTTTAGAGCGCCAAATGACGGCAAACAGATAACTGACAAGTTTATATCATTTACATTTTGTATGGCATGCAAATACGTATAAAAACAAATCATTTTAATTCTCTGGCTGTTATGTGAGCTTATTTATTATAAAATTACAAAAAATATTTCATTACATATGATTACATTTAATATTTACAGATGTTAATATCACGACTGGATGATGAAAAAAAATGTAATTGCTGGTTGGCATAACAGAAAGACATCCAGGCTTGATATATGCGACAGATTGACAATTCCAGCTAGAGACACACCAGTCACATCCCTACCACGGACAAAAAATCCTGACTGGTGTTTGTGTAATAATTGTCAAGAAATGCCAACAGACAGAGAGAACCTATGTTGTAGGTTTTCGGCTCAAAATTGCTTATCTCCAAGACCGGTATGTACTTGTAATTTATAAAATCTAACATTTCATGCAGTGTTAAATTTTATAGTTGGAATATCGGTGAATTAACTGTTACTTTATGGTAACTTGTGATTTTATGACAACCAAATAATTTTTACATCAACAACTGGTATACTCAGAGACTCTTAATATTTACATTCAGGACAAACTATGTTTACAAAATACAAAAAAAAAGCATTTGTCAATAAACAACTAATAGTTATATAAATCTATAATATATTTATACATATCTTAACATTTTACTTTCAGGAAATTGATCAGTATTGTTTAGATGACGGGGTGCTGCAGATCGCATTACAAACAAGAAATTACATTTTTAGGCTGCCAGATGGCGATGAACAGGAAAGGTTTCGCCATCAGTTTATTTACTGGAGGCACGGTTGACTTGGAAGAGATAACAGACAAGTAATACCAAGCTGGATAGACTGCAAAGTAAGGAGGACGTATTACCATGGATGAAGGAGCACTGTTCAAAAGACCTACCAAAATTATCAAGCAAAACATTTCTGCGTTTAATCCTCAACAGATCTTGAACAGCAGATCAGATTTAAATCCAATGAAAATCGGATATATAAGACGCCGTCAAGTGTTGATTATGGTCTTGGCATGCTAATATATGTCTAATTAATAGTTTATATAACATTTAAGGCCTGAAGAAAGACCTGCAAATAGGAAGATTTACCTCTTACATAATGCATGTTTATTAAACATTGATGCTATTACACACATTCCGGTTTTCTATTGTGTATTTAATTTTAGTCAGAATATATTATATTCTGTAATTTTCTTAAAATCGTGTGGCCTGAATCTTCACAACATCTTCCAGAGTGGGTGGATTTGTGGGAGCGAGGGATCTTCGTATTCTTATTGGAACAGTTGGGTCATTATCTACTCGGGCAGGTATGACTGCCCCAGATTAAGTGTTACTTAAGACTGTCTTATCAAGTCGGGTATATAACGGTATGTTTTCCTAGGCATTAAAGGTACTGCTGACCATATTGCCGATCTTTTTGAGTATATTTTTTGCACCTGAAAAATAAATTAGATTAATGGAAATAGGAATATGTCATGCGGTGTCATATGTGGGAAATTATCGAAGCAGTGATATTTCGATTGTCAGGGGATCTGTATCATGCTACTAATGGTATACCCCCCCCCCCCCCACATCCTGTATCGCCGGCCGTGAGAAAACAATGATTCAAAATGTAGAAGAACTTTCTTGGACCTCATGGTTAGTGAGCCAGCTCAGTTTGATTGTACTGAGATGAGACACAATAATTTGACGTTTTCTCATATTTAAGAAACACATTTGACCAGTGGTTACAATTGACCAATTAATTTCTTACATGATTGTTGTCAGATGTTGTTGAATGTTATTACATAATTAAAGCTGAACTCCGTTACAAAACTACAGAAATAATTAAAAAAAAAAATAAACAAAGGGTAACGCCCGAAACAACCGCCATACTTGTTTTCAATTTGTAGAACAAACATGGAGATCGCTTTGGGCGGACAAACACACTGCTATGCCACGCCCACTTCCAGTGTATGCCGTGTCAATCGAAGTGTCCACATCCGGTTACCTAGTCCACTACCAATTACCTCCTGACTGATTTTATTTTTTTACGAAATAAGTCAACCACGATGTACTTTTGCTCTAAAAATAACAGAAAAACGGCCTTACCCCAAACAATAACAAATCTACCAGCACCAGCCAATTTTTTCTTATTTCGTGAAAAGTTTTGTTCAACAGAGTAGAAACACCAAATACTTTTCTGCGTCATAAAGTCTAGTATTATCGTTCCAAAATATATCCAAATTGAAAACTAGTATGGCGGCTGCTTTGGGCGTTACCTTTTTTTATTTAATTAATTCTGTAGTTTTGTAATCGGAGTTCAGCATGGAAATTAACTTCCACAGCTACCAACAAACATCTTGCATGGTAAACCGATGGACTGCAAAATAATGTCATGGTGTAATGTAGGATGGTGTATGGATTACACAAAAAAAACTGTTGCGCTCCTTGAAGCAGCATATTATGTTGGGGCTCTTTCTAACATTTAAAAAGAGTTCAGGGGTAAAGGGAGGTAATCAGGCTTTACCTGTATCCTAGAGACTGGGATAGTAATTGTGTCGCGCTTTGATCATAAACTTAGTTTGTGGAAATAGCGCATTATAAATATGCACATTATTATTATTAGATACATTATTAACGTTGATGTCGAACATCTTTCATTAATTTTACTTTTTAAAGAAGGAACGTAAAAAAAGTGAGGGAGAGAAATGGAGTTTAACGACCACTCATCACAAACTAGGTCATTTCGGAACTAATATGGTTCAATTTTATTTAAATAATTTGCTTGCGCATAAGTCTTTAGCTGTGGAAGGAAATCAGAGGACCCGGAGAAAACCCACGAGGTTTGGCAGACGACCATACGCCACTTGACTCAATGATCCAACGCAAGAGTAGGCCATAGTGCCGCATGTCTGTCTTCATTAGCCCAGTAGGGCGTTAAACCCCAGTTCATTTCATTTCTGATCCAACGCGCACGCGTTAACCATTCGTTCATCCAACCGAACTTCAAAAGAAAGTGGAAATCATAACAAATCATCAAAACTACCAGGCCTAGTTTGAACTACAAATGCGGGTATGTATTGGTTGTAATTACCTGTAACTTAGTGATATGGAATAATAATAATAATAAAAACTTTATTTAATGAGGCAACATATTTAGTTTGCAAGAAAAACCCCCCTAATCTTTCATAAGTCCCTCCTAAGCTACAAAGACATGTAATATCAGGATAAACTCCAAATCATTTGAAATACAATAGCATTTTAAAGTGGGAAGTTTGATAAGTCACTCCTAAACTAAAAAAACATATATATTATACAAGTAGAATATAGGAAGAACACTATAATTACACACAAAATAAGATAGAATGCAGTTTCAAGTTAAATATAAGCATGTCATCAGTTGAATATTGTGTTTTTTTCAGTGCTCAATATAAATGAGTTTTCAGTTTAATCTTAAAATTTTCTTAAAATTGTTCCATAAAAGACATGCAGAATAATGAAAAGTACGTTTCATGGATTCCGTTTTGCATTTTTGAAGGAAAAGAGATTTACTGGTCTGTGAATGGAGCAAGATATCAGTTTTGGAAACGAAATGAAATGAAATGGGGTTTAACGTCCTACTGTTCTGCTCCTAAACTGGGCTAATGAAGACGGGCATACGCCATACAGTGTGCTATGCGGGAAATTTTGCCCGGTCAGCGGCGCTACGGCCTACTCTTATATCGAATTCCAACTGCCAAGGGATCTTTTACGTGCACGCCAATATGTACACGGGGCCTCGGTTTTTCGTCCCATCCGAACGACTAGACAGATGTTCTTGCCAGGCCCTCCGTCCTGCATCACTGGATGAACTTTCTCGGCCAATGCAGGGAGTTTTGGAAACGAGAGATTTTTCAATAAAATAGGAGTTTAGATAAAGTGGAGTATTAAATGTAATAATTTTGAATGGTAAGACAATTTTATTACAAAGAATCCTCTGTATAATGGGAATCCAACCGAGTTTAGTAAATAAAGAGTTGGACGGAGTTTCAATTGGTGCATTAAGAATACTTCTTGCTGCCCTCTTTTGTAATTTTAAAAGAATGTCTAATCTACTCTTGGTAGCATTCCCCCAAATTATAGAGCAATAATCAAATATTGGTAGTATGTAACTATTATAAAACAAAATTCTTGTCTCGTAAGGTAAATGATCTTTTATCTTATTTAGGAGAAATACTTTTGATGCAAGTTTTTTAGACATATGGAAATGACTCAACATTTCCTGTGTGCCTGTAAAATAAAGAAGTCCTTTTATTTTATTTTTGTATATGTTTACATCATAATATATTTCTGTACATTAAAGCATATAAATAAATGGGAAGTTGAAGGTATCAATCACAAATCAGAATAATAAATTGAAAATAATATTGGCCCTTTTATTCTTTCCTATATCGAACAGAGCCATCAAAGATAAAACTAAGTGAATGAAACTGTATGTAATATCACTAAAAAAATAAAATAAAAAATTGTTAAAAATAAAAGCTGTGATGTACTGTAGTACATACGTCTCTGGCAAAAATGGAAGATTCTGAAAGACAATAAAAAATTTTTTTTTATGTTATACCAGTACTACTAATGTACACTATTTACAGATGATTCCTCCAATAAAATTTCATATTGAAAGTTTTTTATTGCTTCAGATTTATAGGCGTTCTTGTCTGCCAGCAGGCCCTACTAGTAGGCCTACACGTAAATATCATCAGAACATGTTCCTTTTTGATTGGATTTTTTTTTTATACTTTTGAATTGTAGACATGGCAAGGTTTGGGGGCGTTTGGAGTGTATTGGGTCTGTTGTGTTTTTCGCCACAAGAGTTCCACAAAATATTAGACTTTGAAAAAATATCATTATTTTCAAAAATTTCTTCTTAGACCTCCCTATATGCCTGTGTGGTACCACATTCCACAAGATTTTCGAATAATTTTGATAGAGTGTTTTGGGTCTGCGGTGTTCTACACCACAAGAGTTCCACAAGAATATAGTACCACACAGGCCCAGAGGGAGGTCTGAGAAAAAATATTTGAAAAAATTGATGAAAAACACCACAGACCCAAAACACTGTATCAAAATTATTCGAAAATGTTGTGGAATGTGGTACGACACAGGCAAATAGGGAAGTATGAGAAGACATTTTTGAATTTTTTTTTTCTAAGTCCAATATCTTGTGGAACTCTTGTGGTGAAAAACACCACAGACCTAAAAAAACTCTTATCAAAATTATACTAAGTCGAAAATTTTGTGGAATGTGGTACCATAGAGGCACATGGGGAGGTCTGAGAAGAATGTTTGTGAAAAATTGATTTTATTTCTAAGTCCAATATCTTTTGGAACTCTTGTGGTGAAAAACACCACAGACCCAAAACACTCTATCAAAATCATGTGGAATGTGGTGCCACACAGGCACATAGAGAGGTATGAGATGAAATTTTTATGGAACTCTTGTGGTGAAAAACACCACAGACCCAAAACACTCTATCAAAATTATTCTAAGTTGAAAATCTTGAGGAATGTGGTACCACACAGGCACATAGGGAGGTCTGAGAAGAATATTTTGAAAAATGATTTTTTTTTTCTAAATCCAATCTCTTGTGGAACTCTTGTGGTGAAAAACACCACAGACCCAAACCACTCTATGTATATTATTTTTAGTCGAAAGTCTTGTGGAATGTATTTATTTTCAGAAACCCAGTATCTTGTGGAACTCTTGTGGTGAAAAGTTCCACACAAATGTCCCCAAACCTTGCCATAGATATTGAATTGACACATATAAAAAATCAAGTAGCATTTTGGCAACGTCTTCGTGAAGTTCGTCATCATTGCAATCAAAATTGCCAGAGTGGCTTTGAAATCATTCCAATTTTCATCTCGCTTTGACCCTTTCGAGGGTTATCCATCATGAATTGAACAATATAATTCTCCCAACTTTCAATTTTACCCGAATGATTAACTTTTCTGGCGGATGTACCTTTAAACTATAGCGATTGGCTTTGTAAAAATAAACATCCAATCAGGTTTCTTATCTCAAATTATAGCTTACCGCTAACAATCTGAGTGAATCAAAGCTCTCTATTGGTATAGAATAGTCGCCCTTATCGAGAGCTAGCGAAAGGTTTG